CCAGGTTGACATGTACCCTACAAACCATTCCATACACCACATATAGTTGACCTACTTATAGTATCTGAGAAACTGACCTAAACACGTAACTTTAACCTTGATCACTCATCCATGAAAAGAGGTGGAAGTGAGTTGAACCCTGTCTGACAGACATGAAGACGTTGACAGGAACCCATATAACAAATACAGTTATATCCTATTTCTCATAATAAGTGATAAATTCACATCACAAAACTTTATTTTTTTTCAAGTGGTTGCTTGGTCAAGGAAAATGAATATATGACAGACGGAAACTTTGAAACATAAGGTATCCACAAACAAGGTATGAAGCATCCACCTCTACCTTCTAGAATATAAAGCATTATACAAATATCTCACACCGCCACCCCCAGATATATTGTCTCACATATTGTGACTTTCTTCGAAGGCAAGAAAAAAACATACACATAAAATTTGAATTTAGAATGATAGAGTTTGAATATAGGATAGTTAATGAACAACATGCACATATATATGTTGTTCATTTACATTTTACATTTGATATAAAAATGCATTTGTCATGTTGCCTTTTACCTTTCTTTTGTGATAATAACAAACTGTACATTACAATGTATATATACATGTATATTTCAATTCTTAGAGCATTCAATGTCTATTCCAGTGGCCAGTTTCACACATTCATTAAGCATGCATGATATTTTGTCACTTAATGAAAATAACACTATAACATTGAATTTAAGAGGATCTGGAGGGGTTTTCATTCCTGTTTTTTTTTTAGACCATTTCCTCTAGTCCTCATAATTATATTTTTTTACCCCATTATTTGAATTCTGTATTCTTTTTTTTTAAACCCATTTTTCTCTTAATTTGTTTTGCTCAACAGATCGTTATCCTCTACTCTGTAAACCTTTTTCAGACTCTCATTTATATTTTTCTACCTCATAAGAAAAAAAAGGTTTAGAAAATATAACTGATATCATGGATATGAGTTCTGTTGTGTCTCATTTTCTCCAAGGAGATCATACAAGTAACCAATTCCAGGTCTTGAAAGAGTTTTAAAATTACTGTATATAAATGAAGAAAGCACTTTTTTTTTTCAACATATCATGTTGATTTAATTTAACTTACATGTATTACATGCATTCTATTTCTGTTTTGTAAGCTATAGATCAATCTTATATTTGATTATTTCTTTGTGATTTACTGATAATTCGTCCTTTTATTGCTTCTATTTTTTTTTCTTGCTTGGGTAACATGTTTACTTTTTGTGCTCACTGTGCTTCATAGTACAGTTTTATACATGTATATATATATATATATAATTCGTCTAAACAACAGCCCAACAATGTTAGATCTGTAAATTTGCGGGAGAAAATTTTTTGTTCTTCCTTGGCCGGGATTCGAATTGATGCTACTGAGATATCGTGGCACCAAATCACCTTGCACTATGCCCGACGCGCTAGACCACTTGACCACCTAGGCTCTATAATTATAAAGCTTTCAGTGGCCGGGTGTTACCTTTCTTCTGCAGTTTTTATCTAGGGTCGTAACACAGTACATGATATATAAGGCATGAAGATGGAATTGTTACAGATCAACTGAATTATCTATTGTAAAGGATCCTACAAATTAATGTAAGATGCAGTAACAGAAATAATTATATTATACTTATATATATATATATATATATATATATACACATTTGGTGGTTGTGGCTTTTTAGAACAAGACACAGGAATCTCTAAATCCTTTTTAGAATGGCCAAAATGAATGAACACATTTAGGCCTTTAAATTCAGGCTCCTGTACTTCTTGCAAATTGTCCTTAAAAATTTTTAAACAGTGAAAATGTAGTTTCATACAAGTGTTTGATTGAGTTTGTGCAATATTGACCAAGGCTTTAATTTCCCATATAAATCAGTGTCCCAAAATGATAATTTATACCTCGTTTGCTTAAATTTTTTAAACTTTTCAGAATTTTTCCAAATAGGATTTAACAATGTTTAAAAGGTTGGAAAATGTATCTTTAATAATTAAGATTTTATGGAGGAAGAAATCAAAAATGGATATCAAGATATTGAAAGTATTATTGGAATAGTTGATACTAATGTTTTTTGTTTGTTATGGTACTGTGAATGAAGATGCAATACATTGAGAATATCATATGGCTTTTTGATATCACACTCATATCAACCCTTGACACCAATATAATCTGTTGACATGGATTCCTGCTCACAACCTCCATGACCTGTTCATGCAGACTGAACTCATTTACATTATGTGAGAGAGTTTAAATCCATTGAAACATAAAAATGACATGAAATCTGTTTGAAATGCTTAATTTTGAAAAACAAAAGACTTTATTGGTGTGAATGTTCTTTTCCAGTCTCACTAATTAGCGACAAGAAAAAGAAAATGAGCGACTAGAAGACAAATTTGGTGACAAGAAATTAAATTATACTATTAAAACAATAAATTTATAGAAAAAGTCAATGGATTAGTCAATTGATTATGTGTTGTTTCATAAAGTTTGAAATTTTGTTGTATTTTGTAGCACTTTATATTTTATTTATTTAGTCATACATTACAGTTTTGTAGCTAAGTACAAATGTAGCTAAGATAATTTTTAGCAGAGACATGTATACATGGTACAATTTATATATATAAATAAGAAGATGTGGTACATGTATGATTGCTAATGAGACAACTCTCCACAAGAGACCAAATGACATAGAAATTGTATAGTACATATGTCTCTAATTTTTAGTGTTTTTTTTTTATTTCAAAGTATGTTTCATTCTTTAATCATCTGATTATACTAATTGTCCATAAAACTGAGAAAAAAATGACATTAAAAATTAAAGAATGAAAATGACCCCCTCCAAACATACACACAAACATAAACAAAACACTCTACATAAATATTGATTCATTCATTTATACACTATGCTGTAAACATATTCTTTATAAAAAAAAATCTTTTTCTTGAACAAATGATTATTTTCTTCTATTTATGTATAATAAAATACATGTATATTAAAAAAAAACACTTTACCATGTTTACTGTTTCTATATTTTATTTATGTATCTACATATTTATTTTAAAGAATTTATTATCAGATTTCTTGTCGCTAAATAAGTTTTCTTGTCGCTAAATTATTCTTTTGGTCGCTTAATTATTTCTTTTTGTCGCTTCTTGACGCTTTTTTTGTTTTATTTATTAGTGAGACACTTCTTTTTCCTGTTTTGAATTTGCCGCCTCACGGAAATAAATATCGCAAGAAGCTATTTGAAGCAAGTGGAAAACGATAATGTTGTCATTAAACAGGAATAAACATCTCAAGGGTATTTTTTAACATGCGAAAATCATTTATAAACGAAATATCTTACCATATGATTCTAAAAATGAAGTTGGAAGAGAATTATTTTGCGTCAGGGTACCAGCTGCTTCTAAGGAAGTCGATTTTGAGCACTTGCGCAATGTAGAACTTTTTTTTTGTTCAGCAAAACGCTTTTAACGACCGAAGTTTTATTTGCAGTGGAAAGCATTTTCAGGATTTTATTTGTCCACATGGCTGAGCAAAACAGTGACTTTGTAAATGTAAAAACATCTAAATTATTGCAAATTTAGGCAATGTCACATCAAAAGAAAGGCTTGTATTCTGTACAAATTGTACAAAAATCCACACAAAACTACTTTCTTTACTATAGTATTTTCTCAAAACATACAAGTTATAAATTATTGTGAATATAGTTTGTCCTAGAAAATGACCTTTGCTGGGATAGATAACGTATTAGTTGTATGGCATAGATAGATATAAGAAGATGTGGTATGAGTGCCAATGAGACAACTCTCCATCCAAGTCAAAATTTATTAAAGTAAACCATTATAGGTCACAGTACGGTCTTCAACACGGAGCCTTGGCTCACACCGAACAGTAAGCTATAAAGCTACATGTATGTGTATAACGTGGGGGTACCCAAATTGCACCTATTTTGACAGTTTTTTCATCTACGATTTTTTATGATCCAGACAAAAGTTTCCATTTTATGTTTATTTTGTAGATGTATCCTTATTTACTATATAGTCCCACCAATTTAATTTTTAATCCATATTGAATCATAGAAAAATTGGTTTGAACTGACCTCCAAACGACACATGATTCTGTAATGAGAAGTACCCAAATTGCATTCATGCTTAAATTCACGTCCGTAAAAATCTAATAACTGATGTTTTGTACTATTTCTTTGAATATTTAGAACAATTTGACAATAGTCCATGCTTTCTATTCATTTTTTAAGAAATGGATGCCTGTAACATATTGTATTTGCTCATTTTTAAAAGATTACTCTTTATGGACGTCGCATGGCGAGGTTTTCATAGATTTTACTTTTTCCAAATTCCAGTAATATATACTGTTAACGTTCTGTGAATATTTAAATATATTTACCTATTTATAAGTCATGCATAATGTCAAATGATAAAAAAACATAAATTGTTTAGTCCCTTAGAAAACTTGTAAGATTTTCACTGCTATTTTTTCTAAATAGGTGCAATTTGGGTACTGTGACGTTACGTCTGTTACACAGCTACATTGTACCCAACAAAAATACCAAGAACAAGTCACGCCGGATTTATGTAGAAAATGACTACCTTTATATGCTGTATAATTTATCCAGCAGTCCACAGGCATAGAAAGTTCCCAAAACTAGTCACTGGTTTGCTGTTTCATTCATGACTGTCATATTTTATTTATTTGCAATTATTTTTCCTTTTAGGCATATAAAGGTATATGTTAGTGAGCATCAATCCAAACTACATTTACATAAAAATTCAAAAGACTCTTCATATAGGGTCTTCAAGAAGAGTGTCTTTAAATTGTGTCAAGCTACAAATTATCTTAAACCTAATCTGTAGGCCTAAAAAAGTTGTGAAAAGACAAAGACTCAAAATGATCTGTCATTATCTCCAATACTAACATGACCAAAAGGGGAGAAAACTTTTAAAAAAATAGGGCCTAAAATAAAATATTGTTTGTTTCCCCAATCCCGACCGACCTGGAAAAATCGCCGCGACCGGAATAATTTTATTGCCGATTTTGTGTAGAAATTTTTTTTATCGAAATTCATGTGGTGGTGCGGTGCTCCTATGAAATGGAGGAGTCAAATACATAAGACATAAGAAGGAGACGCTGTTCTTCAAAGCGCCTTTCTAATCGGCAAAGTTGAAAACGCCTTGATGACGCGACTTGGCTTTCTTCTTCCACGTGGTCTCGGGTCTTTACGATATTCTCTAGATTGTTCATACATTTAAATGTCAGAACATGGACGCTGTTCTGTCGGTTTCTGTTGCCGTTTATTCGGCTGGAAACTTTAAGAAAGACTTGGTAACAAATGTGTTGCGCAGATTTTCGAAGAAGGAAATATTTGAAGACATATGTGAGGACGTGATAGCCGATTTAGAATTGACTGAAGAGGAGGAGGATGCTCTTGACAAAAACACATCCGTGTATCCATTTCTGAAAAAAGTGGTTCTACAGAAATATTTAGTCCACACTACGGTGATGACATGAAACTGGCACTAGACTTTAATAAAGACTTTAAGTTTTTGAAATTTTGCATTGACATTGATGGGACCTCAACAGAAAAAGAAGCCTCCTCCTCAAATATTGTCAATACCTTTGACAAAATGATGGGAGCCAGTCAAGCTGTCAACAAACTTCCTAAGCGAAAAGAAGAAGCTATTAACAAGTTTACAGGTATGCATAATAAGTGACCGTCCCAACATCTATTTCTTGCAAGCAAAGGTAGACTTTTTTAAGATAAGGAGAGTCTCCCCACCTTTGTTTGCATTCTTTTTCTTGTTTTCTTGCAAATTTTCAAACCCTTAACCTAAATTCCCTAATGATTTCCTTATGCCCTTACTAATTTGACCCGAGGCCTGATAGCAATTGATTTAAATTAATCATTTGGTCCCTAATAAAAGCAGACCACTCCACACTAGTCTCGTAAAAGCAGACAGCCCATACTTCTCTAAAAAGAAGGCTGCCACAATGGTAGCGTGCTCGCCTCGAGTACGGTGGCTTCGATTCCCTACGGAGTCACTTAACCAAAGGCTTTAAAATTGGTATTTGCTGCTTTTCTGCAAAAAAGTCTCTAACTGTTCGAGAATCCAGAGCATTCGACAGACTGCTAACCAAGTACGACTACTGTTGGGATCTGTTATCACACCTGAAGGTTTGCTTTTATAGTATTCCCAAAAGATTTTCTTATCACTTTTAATATATAATAACATGGTCTTGCATAGCATGATTTTGTGAACCAACATTGAATGAAAGTTCCACATTTAACATACAATAAAATGTTCATACACTCTCAGTTGATTGTATTTTATATGCATGTTCCATTGAGTTATTCAGTGTTTGATATGGTTTCAATGTTTAAATCCTTCTTTCAGTGGAAAATTGCATACTTCAATGAACGGTATAATCCTCATTCTAGTAGTACACTCTCTGACATTGAACTTGGACAGATTTCTGACAGATTATACTGCTTAAGATAATAAACAGAAGGCTCAGTATTTTAGACATTTTATTCTTTGAAAATTCCCAATATATATATACAAAGTACTCTAGGATATTATTTTTTATTTATTAAAGATCCCTGTTGTTCTTTTATTTCAGGTGATGCTCTTGAAGGCGTGGTGAATGTGTGCCTACAGATAGACTGTAATACACATGTGGAATTTATGTATTATGCCTCTACCCTGGCACAGCCCGATATCTGTGCAGCTGTGGGGGCAACAAAGGACCAAGATGCCATTAAAACACATCGTATTGTTCTACCAGTTTGCAGAGACTGTGTCATTATTGGAAAATTACCACCCAAGAGAAACCCAATTAAATAAATTATTTCAAATTATACATAGAGTTTTATTTAATATATCTCACATGAAGAAACTGATAGCTTGATACACCCTAGAATTTAAAATACTGCCCTATAATGATGGTTTGTAATTTCCTATTTACAAGTACCAAAAAAAACAAATTTACCAAAAAAATAAAATAATTTACCTACCTACCTACCCACACCTGACTTGATAGGGTCGGGTTTGGGGAAACAAACAATTATTTATTTTTGGCCTAGCTTAAAGAAAGTTCCTAGCTGATTTGGGACTGGCACATTGTGGTGCATTGAAACTAGTATTTATTGCACACATTAAACAATTTCTGACAGACGCATGAACATATGGTGTGGATAAAGTACATTTTGTACACATATAGTTGTTTCATGCATATTATATACACCACCTCAGTGGTCTCATGGTAGCATGTTCGCCTGTAGTGCTGGAGGTCCTGGGTTCAAAGCCCAGCTAGATCAAACAGAAGACTTTAAAACTGGTATTTGCTGCTTCTTTGCTTTAGAAGCAGGCAGCATTAAGGAGTAAGAGTAAAGACTGGTCGCCTCTGAGTCCGAATAGTATGTCTTGGTAGGGTGGCAAGTCTTCCTACACACTGTGACCTAAATGTTAACTAGCATTTTAAAAACCTGGATCTGTGTTTCAGTCTAGTACAACAATGTACAAAGCAGGGTAAATTTTCAAAAAGACATTAACATGTTCTTGTCCTGAATATGCAATTAATTTGCCACTGGAGGTTAAACAGCTATCCATCATCATATTTATACCCCATGCAACGAGTTGCGGAGGGTATAATGTGTTTGACCCGTCAGTCCGTCAGTTCTGTTTCTTGTCATCGCAACTCCTCTCAAACCACACAACAGAATTTCATGAAACCTTTTTAGATAATAAGGACATACTATGTAGTTGTGCATATCGACAGGAAATTACGATTCAATTCGTTTTCTAGGAATTAAGCCCCTTTGAACTTATTTACTTTAATGTACTACTGCAACAGTTTGTCATCGCAACTCCTCTCAAACCACACAACAGAATTTCATGAAACCTTTTCAGATAATAAGGACATACTACGTAGATGTGCATATCGACAGGAAATTACGATTCAATTTTTTTTCCAGGAGTTACGCCCCTTTGAACTTATTTGCCCAATATACTACTGCAACCTTATGTCATCGCAACTCCTCTCAAAGCACACAACAGAATTTCATGAAACCTTTTCAGATAATAAGGACATACTACATAGATGTGCATATCAACAGGAAATTACGATTCAATTTTTTTTCCAGGAGTTATGCCCCTTTGAACTCATTTGCCCAATATACTACTGCAACCTTTTGTCATCGCAACTCCTCTCAAAGCACACAACAGAATTTCATGAAACCTTTTCAGATAATAAGGACACTACGTAGATGTGCATATCGACAGGAAATTACGATTCAATTTTTTTTCCAGGAGTTACGCCCCTTTGAACTTATTTGCCCAATATACTACTGCAACCTTTTGTCATCGCAACTCCTCTCAAAGCACACAACAGAATTTCATGAAACCTTTTCAGATAATATGGACATACTACGTAGATGTGCATATCAACAGGAAATTACGATTCAATTTTTTTTCCAGGAGTTACGCCCCTTTGAACTTATTTGCCCAATATACTACTGCAACCTTTTGTCATCGCAACTCCTCTCAAACCACACAACAGAATTTCATGAAACTGTGTAGATAATAAGGACATACTTTGTAGATGTGCATATTGACAGGAAATAATGATTCAATTTTTTTTTCTGATACAATTTCTTTTTCTTACACTTATTTTATTTCTCCAATGACTGTGGGGACGTGGGGTATGTGAGCGGGCTCACTAAGGTTCTTTCATTTATACATGTTATAAATATTACTGTAGCTACAAATGTATTATCACCAAAAGAAAATCTTCTGAGAAAAATATTATTTCTAGGTCCTGAAAAATCAGCATGTACAATTGCCAGTCAAGCCAGTAGGACATAATCAAATTCAACAAATAAGTCAACATAACCAATATTAATATTGTCAGAAGATTATAAGTAGGAATTATTGCTCTTGAATGACAGTGAATATATACATTTTTTGTGGGTTTTTTGCAGAAATTGTAGAAGATAGAGAAAAACTGCAACAAAACAAAACAATCAGCAAAATAAGTTCTACAAATAAGTTAACATGACAGAAATCATCACTACAGCTCCTTACAGGAGTTGTAGCCGTTGAATGATGGTACATGTATTTACCCATGTTTTGCTATTTTTGCCAGAAACTTGGAATCTTCTAATTGCATTGTATTAAGTTTATGCAAAAATGCCAAGTAAGCAATACAGGCTTCTTGTAGTCTCTAGTAATTTTATATTAATGGGGTAATTGGTTTTTGTTTTAGGGGCCAGCTTAAGCCGCCTCTGGTTGTGGATTTTTCTCGCTGTGCATGCTGTGTTGAAGACCCATTGGTGGCCTTGGGCTGTTTTCTGCTCTTTGGTCGGGTTGTTGTCTCTTTGACACATTCTCCATTTCCATTCTCAATTTTATGAATTGTGAAATACTTGCATTTTCCTGGAAATTTGATTTCATGGTTTTGCCAAAGTCTGCATATATTCATATAGCAGATTTATAATTCATTGAACTTTTAAATTCATGCCCCCTGCCCCTGGCCTGAACCCATGCAATCCACAATAATTGATATTCAACAAATAAATCCACATTATAAACATCCTGCAGTGTCTTTCTAATTTTTTTGAATTTTCTAATGCCTTATACAATGTAATAATAGATTTTGACATGCCTATCTTGAATTTTGATGTAAAATTCATTTTCATTTATTATAGACTACACAAAGCCCTTTATAATCATGATAATGCAGTTCCTCATTTCTGAAATAGATATGAATCTAACTTAAGTATGTTAAGTATCACAATAAATCATATACTTGAGCAAGTCTCCTTGAGCTGAAATGATAAACGCATTAACCATCTAAAAAAGGTGTAACAAACATGGTATTCAACACTTACAGTCATGACAGTGTTTAATTATAAAGTCTCCTCACACAACTGAATTGTTTTTCTGTTAATTATTTACAAAATAAATCAAAGTCTTCACAGTTTTGCAATGTCTGACAGCAGATTGTAAAAACTGGCCGTTTGATAAAATCCATATTTTACTATAATGTGTTTCTTAATTTAGAGCTACATTGAACATTTTTAGGAATGCAATTTGAAAATGAAAGAATTCAATAAAAGTTGGAACAAATTTATTATAAAACATATATATCTACATGAAAAATGTTATTTACCAATCATTTATAAAAGATGTTTACTTATTATTATTTTTTTAAACGCTGGAAAAACAATTAATAGTTTTAGAATAGCATCATAACTCTCTGTGCCTTCCTATCCTTTTAGACAGGAAAAAGACTAATGACCATTATTGATTTTTGTTTTAAAATTGGTGATTGTTTACAAAACTGTTTTAATAGTTTTACACCCACTAGAAAATAACCCTAATTATAATAAGTTCCATTCAAACATATCCTATTTCTAATTTTTAAACCTGGTAATAAAGTTTGAATTAGTTCAACACAAATCAGATCCAATAAGGCTGGTAAACAGAATAAATATTAAAGAGGATTTCTATCAAAATTCCAGTCCCTTTTCTGTTGATTATTATAGTCATGATTGTGTCCTTTCGGATCATTTTTGTGGTTTCAAACTTTGAAAGATTTTCATGTTAGCAAGTGATATTTGATCCCTTTCCACTTTATCAGTCTGCCACTATTTTATGCCTTTGATTTGGTGTTTGCAACAATGTCAAATTAAAAAACCCCAAAACAAATCATTTTTTTGCAGGTACTGTCTGTTTTGATTATGGTTACCCAATTCAGCAAACTTATATTTAACGTAAGAATAATGTGATATGAAAATCATCTGTTACTTGTTAGAGGGTTCATTTCTTGAAGATGGTCAAACTAAGACATAGAAGTGAATGTTTTGAGAAAAGAACAAGAAAGACATTTTTCAGTATTCGAGTGATGTGAAACAGAGTTAAATAAATTCCAAATATATTCTGTGATATTGAAAAAAAAAGTATATACCGGTACATATATATAATGGCATTCTTTAATCAATATTTGATAATACATAGAAGAATATAGATATTGACGTGAATGGTATTGAAATGAATAGAAATCAGTTGTTTGATAATTAAGGTATAAAGCTAACTTGGCTTGGAATTAACATTCACCCCATACTCAATTTGTTCATATAAGAATTTCATTTAAGAAAAATATACTAAAAAATGTTGTAAAGACTGGGAGCAATAAAGCATGGTAACACCATTTGTTGGTTTATAAACAGCTGTATGTTTGAATTTTTCTGTTTTTGTGTTTTTTTATTGCTCCCACATTGACTTGATCATTGATTTTTGGTGTTTAATGCCACTTTCAGCACTATTGGCTATTCCATGGAGGTCATTTTTTTATTATTGGAGGAAGCTGGAGAGCCCAGAGAGAACCACTGACATTCATCAGAAAATTGACAATCCTAGTCAAATTAGATTGGAGTCAAATGCACCTGTTACATGGTTTGAGCTAACAACCTCAGTGTTGACATACTAGTGATACAGTAGATTAACTGCTGAGACCACATGGCCACACTCACATTGACACATATACCCCACTCCATATTAGCATGATATAAAGCTTTAAGGAAGGCGTCTTATCAGTATTTAAACACATGTTTTAATAAAAAATATATACATATAGAAATTTTCTTTTATTTCCAGGTGAATATATTGTTTTTTGCCAAGAGTAGAGAATTAAGTGGTGTAAACAGTGCCCAGATTACAGTCCTAAGTCAGTGTACATTTACACATTTGTTGGAGAATATTCTACAGCAATATCCTAGGTAATGTAATGATGGAAGATTGTGTATAAGGTCCTTAAAAGGTAGATAGACCCGTGTTTCCACTAATATGCTGAAAAAAAATTAGGCAGGTAGGCAAATAAATTTATTTTTCTTAAAGTTTTTGACTGGTTTAGACAGGGGAAACCTTCTGACTTTAATAGTACATGTACTTGTACAAAAATATTTAGGGTAGGCACTAAAACATAGGGTGGGTAATGTTAGTGGAAACAAAGGTATTTGATAAGCATGAACAGACATTCAGCCACATATGTGTGCTACAGTATTTGAAATATTAAATTTGAACAGACTTTC